CATGGATACAGAGACCATACTGGTGGTTACCAGAGGCAGGAAGGGCATGGGGGTGGGTGAAATGGGAGAAGTGGGTTAAAAAGTCCAAACTCCCAGCTATAAAATAAATAAGTCTTGGAGATGTAATGTACAGCCTGAAGACTATAGTTAATAATACTAGGGACTTCCCTGGTGGCCCAGGGGCTAAGGTTCCTTCCTCCCAATACAGGCGGCCTGGGTTCAGTCCCTGGTCAGAGACTAGATCCCACATGCTACATTTAAGAGTTGGCATGCTGCAACTAAAAAAGAAAAAAAAGAAAGGAAAAGATCCCACATGCTGCCAAGAGATCTTAGTTGGGCTTCCTGAGTGCCCCCAACTAAGATCCTGGTGCAGCCAAATAAATAATAAATAAATAATTTAAATAACACCAATATCATGTTGTATACTTGAAAGCTGCTAAGAGAGTTTTCACCACGTATATAGAAAATTTTGTAACTATGTATGCTGATGATGTTAACCAGATTTATTATGGTGATTATTTGACAATTTAAACAAATATTGAATCGTTATGTTATAAACTTGAAACTAATATAATGCTATATGTCAATTATATCTCAATAAAAAAACAAACAACAACAAACACAGAGGGCTTAGGGAACCAAGGCACCAAGGATCACTTTATAATTTTCTTTGTGGTGTCAGAATACCATCTAATGTGATTTTCTTCTGTTAAGAACACAGTGAACTCTCCCCAGATCTCCCAACCAAGTCGAAATCCTAGAACACATTCTTTCTAACACCTTTCTCCTGAGATGCTCCATGCTTCCCCATGGTGTGCATGCCCCCTTGCTGCACAGGTAATAAATCCAACATATTCAACTACAGGTGTGTTCCTGGAGGACTTTGACTAGAGGACATTGACAATAGTAAGCATTTAAAAATGTTTGTTGCTACTATTAGTAATGATTATTTTTAAAAATAATTATTGTTGCTATTAAACAAGTGGCTCCAGCATAAAAGATGCATCTCTGGAGAAGTGGCTGATATTCTACCCAGAAGGCAGATTTGGGATAGGTTGCAAAAGGCTTTTGTCTCATAGTCTCTTGTACGAAATGGATGGCAGCCGCTGATACACACACATGCACACACACACACACACACACAAATGCTGACAAATCTTAATCTTCAGAAAGTTCCTCCACAAAGGGAGACAACATGTCTTTCTTGTTCACAGCTGAATCTCTAGCAATAAAGGAATGCAGATCACATCACATAGCCCAAACTCAAGAAGTTTTTTTCTGAATGAGTGAATTTGAGCATACTGGGAGACTTTGCTTAATTTAATTTAAACATTAATAGATCAGGTACACAAATGTAGTGAAGACATATATACTTACACCCTACCAGAAACTGCACTAAACATTTAACAGGGATTAACTCAGCTGCCTCTGATCCCCAGCCTATGAAGTAGATCTTATTATGAACTCAGTTTTATGGAGGTGGAAACTGAAGCACAGGGCGGATTAGTGGTTCACCAGGGATCCCATGACTGGTAGGTGGCTGAGTTAGGATTTAAATCCAGGTAGTCTGATTTCAAAGTCTGTGCTCTTAACCAATATGCTCCACTGACTTTCAGTACAAAATAAAGTTATAAAGAGTGATAGTGTGCAACCAACTTTACAGGCAGATTTGTTATGACCAACCTAGACAGCATATTAAAAAGTAGAGACATTACTTTGCCAACAAAGGTCCGTCTAGTTAAACTATGATTTTTCCAGTAGTCATGTATGGATGTGAGAGTTGGACTATAAACAAAGCTGAACGCCAAAGAATTGATGCTTTTGAACTGTGGTGTTGCAGAAGACCCTCAAGAGTTCCTTGGACTGCAAGGAGATCCAACCAGTCCATCCTAAAGGAAATCAGTCCTGAATATTCATTTGAAGGGCTGATGCTGAAGCTGAAGCTCCAATATTTTGGCCACCTGATGTGAAGAGCTGACTCTTTTGAAAAGCCCCTGATGCTGGGAAACATTGAAGGTGGGAGGAGAAGGTGATGACGACAGAGGATGAGATGGTTGGATGGGATCACCGACTCAATGGATACGAGTTTGAGTAAATTCCAGGAGTAGGTGATGGACAGGGAGGCCTGGCGTGCTGCAGTCCATGGGGTCGAAAAGAGTTGGACATGACTGAGCAACTGAACTGAACTTGTGTTGTTTATATCCAAAAACACAGAAAGTAGATTATTTTCTCCATTGAGGAAAAACGCTCTTTGAGTATTTTAAATGGGTCATTTAATAAGCCACAAAGTGGAAATTACATAGATCCTACAATTTGACCATAGCAAAATAATATTCACTATAGACACCAAGAATAACATGAGGAGAGCAGGGATGAAATATCAGGAATGAAAAAAGGAATATAAGAACAGATTCAGGGACTTTCCTGGTGGTCCAGTTGTTAGGACTTTGCCTTCCAATGCAGGGGGTGCAGGTTTGAACCCTGGTTGGGGATAAGATCCCATGTGCCTTGAGGCCAAAACACCAAAACATAAAACCAAAGCAATATTGTAACAAATTCAATAAGGACTTCAAAAATGGTCCACATCAAAAGAATTTTTAATCAAAAATAAATAAGTTTTGATACTTTGAAGAAGAACAGATTCAGAGGAGATGAAAACTTTTGAGGTTATCTATAAGTTCGTGCCAATAAATATGGAAATGTAAATGAGATGGTCTTTTCTAAGCAAATATAAATCACCCAAAATTGACTCAAGAGGAATCAGAAAATGAATACTGTATTACTTACCAATAACTTTGGAAAGAATAATTAAAGATCTAGCCTTCCAAAATCCATCAAGCCCAGCTTGATTATAGATGCATTCTTTAAATCAGCAATGAGCAGATAGATATCTTATAATTTAAAAGCACCAATGTGCAGGAAAAACCAGGATGCTTTCAAAATCATCCTAGAAAGTTAGCATAATCTAGTGTCAAATCTGAATGAGAACCCCACCATTGCCTAAAAAGGAAAAAATAATTTTATCAGTATAGATGCCCCATAAAAGCCCTAAGAAAAATTAGTAATTTTAATTCAACTGTATTTTTATAAAAGAACATATATCAACCAGATAAATTTGTTGGGGGAATATATGCATGGTATAATTAAGGATGGCATTTTGAATCAGTAAGCAGAGGATGGACTAGTCAGGTTTGGTGTTAGGACAGTTGACTTCCTGCCTTCATCAAATCCTTGCCCTTCCCTATATATAGGTACAATTTCCAGATGAAGAGGTAACCTAAACAACAACATCATCATCATCATCAACAACAACAATAACAGCAAAGTTCTAAGCTGCTAGAACTCTTAAGTAATTCCTCTTGTGATTCTGAGTCTCCTTAAGCTAGACAGGAAATCTAGAAACCATGAAAGATAAGACTTACAGATTTGAGGACATCCAAACTTGACATGGCTTTGCAGACAACCCCACCAAATATTATTCAGTGCTTAACAAATAATAGGTGCCACATGAAAACATTTCCAATGGTAACACTATGAAAACACTAAGTGATAAAGGCAAATGACAGAATAGTTATATTTTTGAGATCAATAAAATCAATAACCCTTTGGCAAGTTTGATTAAAAAAAAACTGGGCACAGGAGGGAGAAGACACACATAAGCAATATTAAGAATGAAAAGGGGGTATAGTTTCAGAGAAAAGCAAACACTATAAAGTAATACTAGTTGTAAATTCGTGCCTGTGAACTTGAAATTGTAAATGAGGTGGACAATTTTCTAGGAAAATGTAAACGACTAAAACTGACTCAAGACTTTTTTTTTTTAAGGAAAAATATAACTCTGGATATATTAATAGATATAGATCCACAGATAGATTGATATAGATAGATGATGGATAGATATAGATAGATGATAGATAGATGATAGATAGATAGATAGATAGATAGACGATATATATCAGTAGGTATCTCTGGGAAATGGGACTAACAGGGGCAAGGCTAGGTGGAGCGGGGCAGCTGCTTTCTAAATACAAGCTGTGTGCTTTGAATCCTGTAAAAGTCACGAATTACTTCTGTGATAAAGGAAGCAAAAATTGTTGGTGAGTGGCTCTCCGGGAAGTTCCAGGAACAAGCCAGAGGTGGGCTAAAGGACGGAGCTGGAATGGAATCCAACCGTTCCTCTGTGATAATCTCCCCGGTCTCACCGTCACACCTGCCCCCTCTTCTCTCCCTCTCCTTCCCACTCTGTGGACAGACATCCTGAGATTAGAGGGCGTTGATGAATAAGGCAGAGCCGCGGAAAGAGGAAAGAAGACAGGAGTTCAAATCCCTCCTCCAGACTTGGGTTTGCAGTGTCAGACTTTGGGGAGCGTCCCCTCACTTTCTCCCGATCCAAGGGTCGCCGCGCCCCGTCCGCACCCACCACCCTCTGGGGTTCCTAGAGACTCAAGTTAAATTGTTGAGCTAGTCTAATCCCGCAAGAGCTGGTGATGAGGGGGTGGGGTGGCCGGCGCCTCCACCCGAGGCTGCGGGTAGAAGCATCCCCGCCTCCGCTGCCCCCTCCTTCCCCCTGCCTCCCTAGCACACACACCCACACCAGCCGCTCGCCTCCCGGCTGGAGAGATGCTCTGAGGAGCCAGCGGGCAGCGGCTCCTCCTTAGCCAGCCGAACCGAAGAAGCAGCTGAAGGGCTGGGATTGCGCCGGAGACCTACAAGCCAGAACTGGGGACAATTCTTATCTTTCTTTCACGCTTCTTTCTTTCGCTCAAAAAACAAACAAACAAACCAAAAAACTCCCTTGTTCCCACTGCAATTTGGAGGAGTATGGAGTGATTGGAAGGAACTGACGCAGAAGCTTTATTTATAGACCCTAAAGAAGTTCTGGGCAAGTCACTCCACGGGACCCGCGAGGCCCCAGGTAACCCCAGCTCCAGGCGCTGGCTCAGTATGGCAAGCCAGCCCACAGCCTCAGGCAGGGGTGCGGGGCGCCCCTGTCTGCAGCAATGACACTCCCCGTGGCCCGGACCCAGGTGGCCTCGCTTGGTGAGCGTCCCCACCAGGTAAGTGCACCCCGGGGGGTTTCCACTGGTCACCTGAATGGGACCTTCAGCTCCTAAGAAGTAAGTCCACACAGTTTAGCCACAGGCATGAGTGGGAGGTTTATAGAAAAGAGTCTGTTTTTATCACAGGAAATTGTGGGAGATAGGAGTGGAAGATGGTTTTTAAATTTTTTATTTTTGTATTGACGCGTGGGGATGAATTTTTGTCGGAAATACTTATGGTTCAGGCCTGGAGATAGGCGCCTGAATTTGTGCGTGGACAGAAGGTGGAGCGAAGCCCTCAGATTTTGCAGAAACCTGTGATGAACGGGAGGTGAGAGGTTATGATCCTGAAAATGTGCCAGATATTGTGTAGAGTATGAATCTAAGCATTTGAGAGAAATGATGGGAGAAGCACTTACCGCCCTGGCTTCACCTGACCCCCACACTCGGCCATCTCCACGAAGATGCTCACAGGTACTGGCAACAATGGACACCCGCGCGCACTGCTTGTGCGCCCCGAGCCCGCGGCGTTCAGCACCTCGGACAGAGCCCGCGGCGGCAGCCCGCGGCATCCGAGAACACCCGGCATCCTGTCTCCGCCCCAGGCCACCGAGGCTCCTGGCTGAGGGCGGCTACCCAACGCCCCCCCTACAGCCGGGAAAGGATTCTCGAATCGCAAAGGCAAACGTGGAACTCAGTGTCTGATCCGCTTCTAACTGCTTCCCGTGACTGCGGAAGGAAGAGGTGGAGTATAAACACATACCCCCAGCTTCCGCAAATACTACAGCTGAAAGGCGTGGCCTCCTGGATTTTGAAAGGTGGACCCAACTTTCTTCAAATTTTAACAATTACTGAGAGCTTTCTATGTGCCAAGGCCCTGCGCAAAGCGCTCTCTACATGAGTTGCTTTATTGTTAGAGCCTGCCACAAATGGGTCCATGACCCCCATTTTACAGATGAGAACACCGAGGCAAGAGAACTTGAGTAACTTGCCCCAGTTTATACAAACACCAAATGGCAAGCTCCAATCTGGGCTACAACAGTCGGGAGATATGTCAGACAGAATTCTGTCAAAGAGCTCTGGCTTGGGATCAGAGGAACAGAGTTTAAATCAAAGCTGTATCACTTATAGATGTGTGCTCTTGGGCAAGATTACCTAATGTGTCTGGATATCAGGCTCTGTATCTTAAAGTTAGGATAATAAAGCTTCCCCTGCAGAAGTACTAGGGGAGGGAGTGTCAAAGAGATCTTGTATGTGGCAAGATTCAGGTAACTTTGAATTATGGTTGTGTGGTAGTGGGGGAAGGAAGGAGGGAGCAGGTGATTTAAAGAGGAAGAGGATTGGCATTGAACCCTAGTGGCGTTCTACAGGGTGCTGGGCACAGCTGAGGGCAGGGCTTAATCCATCTTAAAACATTCCCATTAAAAAATGTTAAAGCACTGTTCTAGTCAAGCAATACAGAACTGTGTAGCACATTTAGCCCCAAGCCCAGTACTATGCAGCCTTGTTCTACACTAATCAGGCTAAAGGTCTGGAAAGACCTGGCAGTGAAAGAGCCTAGGTTCAGCGATATTAAAGACTCAATCTCTGTCTTTAAACTTCCCACTTATAAATGGGGAAAGGTTGAACAAGATGGCTCCTCTCAGCTTCAAAAGTCTAAGACTTCCATAGTTTGTGGATAATGAAATAATCCAAGGGTTTCTGGGCTTCCCCATTCACTCAGATAGTAAAGAATCTGTCTACAATACAGGAGACCCAAGTTCAATCCCTTGGTTGGGAAGATCCCTTGGAGAAGGGAATCACTACCCACTCCAGTATTCTTGCCAGGAGAATCCCATGGACAGAGAAGCATGGTGAGCTACAGTCCATAGGGTCACAGAGTTGGACATGACTGAGTGACTAACACTTTTGGACAAAAAAGGCAAACAATTCCACCCATTCATCTCCTCCATCAAAAAAATATTTTGAGTGTGTGAGTTAGTGATGTTTTAGTTTTCAGCATTTCTTTTCCAGTCCATGTGCCTTTGAAATTATGTTAGTCACCATTAAAGTGGAGTTGAGTTAAACACAAAACAGCCCTGCTTCAAAGAATGCAGTTGGTATCAGCCTGGGGCAAAAACATACATGTGAACACTTTATGGTAAGTCCCTACATATGAGCCTCAAGTGTTGAACTTTCAAAGATGCAAATGTGCATTCACCTGTCCAGTCACATAAGTCAGTTCACATATCTGGCATATATTGCCATGTGGGTGCATCCTCTACACGTGGTTGTGCTTTCATATACTCTATAGTGCTATTTTTTTTTTTTGGTGTTTGCTTTTATGCATTATCTGTGCAAAAAGTATTATAAATCTATTACAGTACAGTTGTTGTTCAGTCGCTCAGTTGTGTCCGATTTTACCACCCCATGGACTGCAGCACACCAGGCTTCCCTGTCCTTCACCATCTCCTGGAGTTTGCTCAAACTCATGTCCATCGAGTTAGTGATACCATCTAGTCATCTCATCCTCTGTCGACCTCTTCTGCTCCTTCCTGCAATCTTTCCCAGCATCAGGGTCTTTTCCAATGAGTCAGCTCTTCAAATCAGGTGGCCAAAGTATTGGAGCTTCAGCTTCAACATCAGTCCTTCCAATGAATATTCAGGGTTGATTTGCTCCAGGATTGACTGGTTTGATCTCAGTACATTACAGTACAGTATTATATAGCAAGTATGTTAGTTGGGTGCCTATGCTAACTTTGTGGGACTTAGCAACAAATTGGACTTACGACGAATGCACTCTTGAAATAGAACTCATCCATATGCAGGGGACTTACTGTATTGGGTTATAAAACCTTGGGAAGTAGGAATAAGGGAAATGAAACACAAGGCAAGGAAAAGAGGAAAAGTAAATACCTTATTGAGCTCTTCACGGCTTGGCAACCAGTGCAGTGATTATTCAGTCTTTCAGAAATTATATAATCCACTGCATCTCACCCAGACCCAAACTAGGCTATTAGAAGAAAGGGAAAAGAATTTACCTGACATCTACCACCCATCTCCCATCAGTCAACATTTGTCCTACAAAATGCCAGTCCTCACCACCAATCTGAGCAGAGTAACTTGATCTCTCCAGGCAGTTGATGGAGAAACAGTTTCTCCAATAGTCAGTTTCTCCTAGTTGGTGGCACCCAGGTGTGGAGCTCAGACATCTGTAGCAGTGACAGCAAGGGTGACCTGACTCCAACACCAAGGTATGGACCTTTTGAAGGCCACTTGGGCAAGAGAGCAAGGTGAACAGCCAAAACCCAGAGAGGAGAGACGTACATCTGGGATGACACATAAAGCGAGTCTGGCATCATCTGCAAGGCTCTTGTCAATAAGCCATGTGACCTGCAATCTCTTCAACCCACTTTTCTTGATGTGAAAAGTGTAAGGTGGATGCAGCACGCCAACAGTTAACGTTAAGGCAGCACATTTTATCTGGGCTACAGGGATGAGGTAAGGATCCGATTCTTTCCTTGCACAGAGCTCCTGCATTTTTATTATTTAAGGAATTTAAGTGGGGAGGACCACAGTGAAAAAAATGGCTAGAGACAACCTGAAAAGTAGCTCACTGGGGATGGAGAAAGTTCTCTCCATCGATGGGCTAGCTAGACAACCCAGACCTCAGAGAGCTACTGGGATGTTGAGCCTTCATCTTGCTCTCTCCTTAGGGGCCGGGGGAAGAGTAGATGGGGGACAATCCTGAGCTCAGAGGAGGAGGTAGCCGCTGATGCAAAATGAAGGGAGAGATGCCCCTCCCAGATATTCTATCCTCTCCCTCCTTTTCTTTCTTCTTTTTCTCCCTACCTGCCTCCTTCCACCCCAGACTTCAAGGTGCTCCAGAGCTATGTGACCGGCACTACACACAACACAGAGAGAGACAACCCAATGGTCCACCCATATCCCTTTTCCATCTTCTTTTCCTCATTGTCTCCTCCCTTCCTCCTTCTTTCCCTTTATCCAACTTTCAAATTATCTCACAGTTGATGAAGGACAAAATACAGTTTCCCCACCTCGGAGGACTCAGAGATACAGGGAGGAGGCTGACCCAGATGGTTAATCAGATCAATACTCCAAGTGAGGAAGGTGACCCCAAGGAATGCAGTACCCACATTTTTTCTTTTGGTATGTTGTGTGTGTGAGTGGGTGTGTGTGAGAGATAGAGAATGCAAAGATGATGTATAGTATTCCAGCATAGGAATACACTACCATTTCTTTATTTGCTTTTTAAAAAATATTTTTATTTAGTTATGTATTTATTTATTTGGCTGTGCCTGGTCTTAGTTGTGGCATGAGCGATCTTTAGTTGTGGCATGTGGGATCTAGTTCCTTGACCAGGGATAGAACCTGGGTCACCTGCATTGGGAGCCCAGTATCTTAGCCACAGGAACACCAGGGAAGTCCCTCTATTTTCATCTTGAGGGATTGTTTCTAGTTTGGGCTTTTTTATGAATAGGGCTCCCGGGATCATTTTTGCATGTGTTTTGCTACACATATTTATCAGTAATCTATTCCTGAGAAAAAAACATCCCCAAAATGAGTGCCTTAAGTGAAGAATCACTTCTTTGCCAATAGTTCTGGAAGTGGAACATCTGCTGGTCTCCCCCAAGCTCCCTTATGCAGTTGCCATCTTCTGGGGCTTTGGCTGCTCTGAGATGGCCTCATGGACACTCCAGTGTTCGCTGAGGCTGTCAGCTGAAATGCCCTGTGTCTTTTCTGGCAAGATACCCCAGGCTTCTGTCCATGGCAGTCAAATTCCAAGAGAGCAAATCCTGAAGCTGCAAGGTCCCCTGAGGCCTTGCCTTGAAAGCCACACAGTTAGTTCTGCTGCATCTTATTGGGTGGTTCAAAGGGTAAAGCGTCTGCCTGCAATTAGGGAGACCTGTGTTCGATCCCTGGGTTGGGAAGATCCCCTGGAGAGGAGATGGCAACCCACTCCGGTACTCTTGCCTGGAAAATCCAATGGATGGAGAAGCCTGGTGGGCTACAGTCCATGGGGTTGCAAAGAGTCGGACATGACTGAGTGACTTCACTTTCACTGGTCAAAGCAAATCCCATGCTGACTCCTCCTTTCCTTGGGAGGAGAGGGAAGACCTCACCACAGGTGGTGTGCACACAAGGAGGGGAGGACTTTGTGGCCATGCTTTTCGGTCCACCACACACCTAAACCCAGGCATGGAATTACTGGGTCAGAGCACAGGCATTGTCTTGGTGGAACCAACTGACGCTCTACCAATGTGTGCCTCCTGCTTCCATCTTCCTGCATCCTTGATGCTGTCAGTCTAATTTTAGCCTCGCTGGAGGGGGTAGTGCTATGGCTACATGGTGCTGTAATTTGATTTTCCTTGATTACTAACAAGGCTGAGCACCGTTTTCTGTGCTTATTGGCCATTTGTGTATCCTCTTTTGGAGGAAGTGATTTGTAGGTGTTCTTTATATAGTCTGGATATGAGTCAGTTGTAATTTTATTCCACTCTCTCCCTTCCATCTTGAGTGATTTTTCTCTTGATTAAAAAGGAAGTAACATTGGAGCTGAGATTTGAGGGATGATGAATAATTAAAGAAGAGCAGGGCGGGCTTATAGTTAGAAACATGAACAGGA